CACACACAGGGACACGGACACACACACACACACACACACACACACACACACACACACACACAGGTACACATGCTCATATATCATATCCCCTGCATATTTTCCTCATCTCTTTAGCAGCTCCAGATTCCTCGGCTGCCCTTCTTCTCCTCTGGAAGCTCAGCAGCATCTTGTCCTCATCGCGGTCAATAACAATAGATCTGTTTGTATAACTGGATGTCTACAGTGAGCTGAGATGGCTGCAGAAGGCACTGGAGCTTGACCCACTTTCCAGTCCTGTGAACCGCATTAATTCACCCTGCCAGGTGCTTGAGAGCCTCAAGGTCTGCTAAGTGAACGTACTGAAGCCTTTATCTGCCTTTACACAGCATAGGGTTGAACTTGATATTTTGATATAAAGGGGTAAAGGACCTTGACACAGCTTTTATTATATAGCTTGGTCTCAGTTGAAAACAAAAATACCAGATTTCCATCATGCTTTCCACATGGATTTTGTTCATTATAGGTTTAACTGCCATTCTTTCTTCTTCTGTAATAATTAGATTAGATTAGATTCAACTTTATTGTCATTGCACAAGTACAAGTACTAGACAATGAAATGCAGTTACGCAGCTAACCAGAAGTGCAAAACAGGAAAAGTGAAGAGAAATGTGCATATTTTAACTTTCACTTGACTGGAGAATTAGCGCCACCAACACTTTATTTCAATGAACCAACTTCTAATATCTTCCTAACAGTAATGGGTGGAAACGTGCATTAATCTACATTTTGTGTTGACAATTATTTTGAAAATGATGTTGAAATTTGTGCTAAATTTGAACGGAGACTTGATTATTGTAGTAGTAGTGTAGCAGTCAGCTTAGAGTTTACCATAAACAGCTAGCTTAAGGATAGTATTTGAACGGGGTCCAACCATCAACATATAAAAGATGGATAACATGACAGTTCCCCCCCAAATTAAAGCAAAAACATCTTGATTGCCCCCTAGTGGTACACGTCAAATGCATTCTTTCCAAAGATGGTTTCTGTCATTTTAGGTAGTTCTAGTGGATGTATATTATAGTCTCTGATAAGTTTGGCTTTAATTAGTTATTTTAAGCTGTATAAAGGAGGTTTTATGTCATGATTGACAGCTGAGCCCTACTCGCACCCTCAGTCGGGTGTATGTGGGGGACCTCAATATTGTGGGGCCAACCCCGAACGCCACTGTGTAGAGTCTTGCTCCAAATTATGTCACCAGAGCAAGATGGCAGTGGCTGTAGTCGGGATATTTTGGACTTATTTTTCTACACGGTGGCAGGAATTGGAGACACTATGTAACAGACAGATCTTTAATATGTTGATTGGTCCAATTCTGAACAAAACCAGATGATTTGTGAATGTACTGCAGACTCGCCAATGCACATTGTTAGCAAGCTGGCTAAAAACGCACAACATGTAAATACATCAGCTGTCTCTCCACATCTCCAGCCCCTGTGACAAACTAACACATACCCGACTCTGTCAGCTGGATGCAGAAAGGACAAACTGATATCAGCCCTCTCACTTCTAGTACAATAGCACATGAGCTGACCCCCAAATTGTCCAAGTAGAGTGTTGGGAGTAGTAATATACAGGTAATGTAATTGTTGAGTTTCAAACTGTAATCCCTTACAGTATGTTGTTGAGAACTGTAATACATTGCTAAGTAATGCATTGCTGCCCGACAGTTCTTCAAAATTTCCTCCGAGCTCACTGTTTTTGTTTTGAAACTCAGTTGTGAACTGTGAGGTCTAAAATGAGCCAGGAGTAAAATTTGGGGATTTAGGGGCGCTTTAAAAAAAATCTAGGAGTGAACCTTTAAACACATACAGACATTTTAGTGAATACATTCCTCCTCTGAGCTCTGTGGGGAACAAAACATTTGTTAAACGTACTGATTCAATATATTGCTTGAATTGCAATATTAGTGCACAAAAATATTCTTTTCTACAAGGTGTTGCGCTCCTCTCTGACGCAGTTGCATAAAAAATATTATGTGTTTTTTTTTATTATCTGCTTGAAGAGGAATCATTCCACAGGAAATGATCACCACGCTCACCTTGAGTTTCTTTTGTGCATCAAACCAGGGCAATCTGCCACGGAGGAGACGAGCTACATTGAAAATCATGAAGGCACTACTATACAACAATCTACATGTATGAATTAAATAATGTACAGTATATTGAAGTTTATCAGTTTTTATCAGTAATAGTACAAAACTGTCATAGCATCACACATTTTCAATCTTCAGCTTTTGTCCTCAATAAAAGTGTCGTTTTCAGTCACAGCAAGCAAGTCCCCTATCTGTGATGTGTGAAGGACTAGGACAGGATCGTTCTTTCTGTGGTGGTTTAATGAAGGGGGGGGG